AAAAAAAACTATTGAAATATTTAGCATAAATTTATAGTAACAATAAATTTGACCTCTGTATATTTAATTATTTTATTCGTATTAATTGTATCACCAGTATTACCAGTATCACTAGTATCACCAGTTTCACCAGTATCACCAGTATCACCCAGTTCCACCAGTATCACCAGTTTCACCAAATGACTTTTTAAGTTTTACCAGTTTCACCAGTTTCAACTGGTGAAATTAATTAGTTTCATCTGCAACTCTACTGTAGACTAGCAGTCACAGCTTGCACTGAGAAATTACAGCTTAAGCTGAGAAATTTATAAGTGTAGACCCAAAAAAAAAATTCAAAGTTAGTTTTTTCAAAAACATTCAATACACTATATCCTTACATATTTTCTAGTTTCCTGTGATTTTCTTTTGCGTGATAATGCTAACTCTAAAAAAAAATATATATATAATTTTTATCTATGAAATTTTGGAGGACGATTTAAAACCAAGTTATGATATTTATTTTAAATCCAAAACTTACTGCCTGATATTTAGATTTGAGACTATACTTATTCATCAGGGTGATCAAATCTAAAATCAAAATAATATATAAAGTAATATATAAAACAAAGAAGCATCGAACTAGCAGTTCATCACAGTGACTAGCAGTCACAGCTTGCGCTTCAGCGTCTAACTAGCAGTTCATCACTGTAGACTAGCAGTCACAGCTTGCACTAAGAAATTTGAGTATAAACCCCCCAAAAAAAAATTTAAAGTTAGTTTTTCCAAAGACATTCAATACACTATATCCTTACTCCCATTTCTAATTTTCTGAAATTTTCTTTATTTGTATGCATCCAATTTCAATTTTATATGAACAGTGCATAGTGAAGTTTGTAAAATTAATTGAGGCACAGATTCCAAGAGGGTTAGGTGAAGAAGAAGCACAAAAGCTAGCAGAGCATAATAAAAAGAAAGTAGCCTTTAGCCAAACCGTAGACTCGAAATGGGTAGGAAAACTTAGAGAGAAAAGAACGAAACAGCAATATGACAAGAAAACAATTTATTATTGTCGCGAGTGCAGTAATA